CCCAACTGATCAAAAGCTGTTTTTGTAATGATGTTGGTGCTACTTCCCGGATCTATCAGCACTCTCCTGATCATGTAATTCGCTACCAGGAGGCTGATGACCAAGGGGTCCTCATGTGGGCGCTGGACTCTAGAAAGATCGTTGTTACCGAATCCAATGCTGATGCTGCCTGGTGCAACCGTGTTTACCGAAGACAACCTTCGTAACTTATGAGCCTCTCGCAGCCTGGATCTGTACAACTCTTCAGACTCTTCATCATCCTCCGACCTTCCGTGAATAGCATGGATAACCTTTACCTGACTGCCATCTACCCGTCGAGGGTTAACCTCCCGAGGTTTTACGTGCTCCTTCGTGGCGAGATACTCCACCAATTCTCCTCTCGCTATCATGCTTTCTACCTGTCGCTGTAGGGACCTGCAGTCATTGGTGGTATACCCATAATCTCTATGGTAGGCATAATGTTTGTTTTTGTCCCTCTGCTCCAAGGGTTGTTTCATGGGCTGAGGAGCGCGAACCTCGTCTTATTCTCTTGGAATAGGCGGCCAAGGTAGTACGAAGAGGAGTAAACCTGTCCTCTGTCCTTCGCCTTTTCTCAGACGCTTGGGTGGCTTGTGTGGCGGTATGAGGAACCTTTTGCATCCTTGTGCTCGCAGCTTTCTCTTGAGACTTGTTTTCCACTGTGACGAGGGTAGCGTGCTGCGCACGGTGAGCTACGTTTTCCTCCAACCGAATGTAGATTTGTGCCCTAGCATTCAAAGTCTGCATATCCGGGGGGGGGGGGGGGGGGAATATTTGACCAAGGATGTGTGAAACTTGGTTCCCTGGATCATTGCCAACTTAAATGTTTCGATTGCCGTGGCAGGATGACAATCTGCTATCTCCGAGGCCTCCATGTTAAATCTGGATAAAAAATCTTGTAGAGTTTCTCCCTTCCTTTGCCTTATGGTAAAAAGGCTGGCTATACTTTTCTTCTGCTTCTTATTTCCGCAATACTGGGCTAAGAACATAGTGCACAAGGTCTCATAGTCAGGGATAGACTTGTGTGGCCTATTCCTGAACCATTCTAACGCTGCTCCGGTTAAACTGGTAGGAAAAACCTTACACATCCACGGATCGTTATGATCGTCCAATGCCATCTTTTGCGCATAATGATCAAGATGCAGAGAAGGGTCGCCTGCCCCATCGAACTGGGTGAAGGATGGCATAGTGAACTTCTTCGGCCTCTCCACAAGGTACACCTCGTCAGTAAAGGGGGTCTTAACCAAGGAGTTCTTGTGCTCTCTAGCCATCTCGGCTGGTGTCTGGACTCTCAAGAGCTTTTTTTCATCGAATGCATCTTGTACACGTGCGCCATCTGGAACGCCATTGGACCATACCGTAAGCCTATGGCTGGACTCGGCCTGTTCGTCCTGTGTGCGATGTGGGAGATTATCCGAAGCAACCGCCTCGGACCTCGTCCCTTGCTTTTACTGCGCCTCACTAGGTCGAGCCTCGTTGGGTGGTGTCTCGTTGGCTGGAGGCTCGTGAACCGGAGGTAAATTCCGGGCGGAAGGTGGTGCCGCAGCATCGCCTGGTGGTGGTTGTGGCGTTAGCCTAGCCATGGCCGTGTGCAGCGTATGAGTCTGCTGCTGAAGTGCAGCTATCTGAGCGACACTCGTATCGTTTGCTTGCCGGACAATAAAAATAAATAAGAACAATGTATAGAGAAGTGTGGAATTGCTTCATCCTTTATTGGAGGTCTTAGCCTCTATTTATATACAAAAGATTGCAAAATTATGGTAGGACTCGCGTTGCTTGCCCTCCAATTCTTTCTATATAACCATTCTTTTTCTAATAGAGTTCTTTCCATTGTCGAATCTTCCATACATAGAAATTGCCTTGTACAGAACTTCCTATCCGAATTTTCCTTCTACAGTAAATCCTTCAAATGGTAGGATTTGCGCATTCTTGGGCTGAATATATTTTGGTCCGGCTGGGCTTGGGTAACAGGCCGGATGTTAAATACTCATACGCTGGGCTGACGACAAGCTGGGCTGATGACTTCTTGATTCGGCCTTGATGGAAGTTGGAGGATAACTAATAATGGTCTTGGGCTGTAAATACCCTCAATTTGGGCTTGAGCATGATGGGCCTTATATGTCCTTGGAATGTAAATATGGGTAGTGGTGACGTGTGCGCTTCTTATTGGAGGGAGTTTTTTTCCCTCCACAGTTACGCTTCGTCCTATTTGTGAGACACTGATATTTGTTTAAAAAAAATACGATTGATCTATTTCTACTTTGGCAACTTAATAAACAAAAAAGAAAGCCCACATATACGATTGAAGGAACTTTCGTACAAAAGAATAAAAAAATAAGAAAGTTCAAGAGTGGAGCAACGATAGAATAAGATTGATGTTACATTATGCACTTATATAAAATATTTGCTTTCTTTTGTTGGTAGGGAACTTGTTCACTGTAAGTATTTTTGCTTCTGCAATGTAATCTCCTCCCCTTTGTGTTATATATATATATATATGAACGTATGCATATTTATTCAATTGAATCTTCATTGTATCACATCATTGTTATCTCATAGTAAATTGATATATGCTGGTGTCCATCTGAGTGGAAAATGTTTAGCTAATTTTGCTCTAATTGTTAATTTTTTTAATGCTATTTTCTGGTCCGTGGTTTGATGTGTGCCAGCCTTTAAAAAAACTCAGAATATCAGTTTAGGATTCAAAATCTTTGGCAATGACGTGTGGCAATGACGTGAATGTCTCATCTCCCTCATTGCATAACCTACATTATAGGTGATGGCTCTAAATTCATCTAGTTTAAAGCTATCTTTATGAATACCTTTTCTTTGCAACTTGCAGACCCACCTTTTGCAATGTAAAAGAAAGTAGCTCTGTTGGGAATTTGTACCCAGATGCTTATGTTGCAACAACGGTGAGCTGTAGCTTCTGGGTAGTCTATGCACACAATCATCTGAAAATTAATTTTATTTGGAAAGTTGGGGAGTGACATTGGCATTGCATCTCATTCATTCATGAGACTTGAATTATATGACAGTTTTTTTTACCTCAAAATAAGAATTATTCCCCTTCTTTATATTTTATACTTTGTATTGGATTCATGAGATCATTAAAGGGTGCGTTTTAGGCACCTTATTATTATTTTAAGGAGCCGGAAAGGAGGTAATAGACGACCCACATCATCTCCCATGATTGTCCCCATGGACTTCTTTTGTAGGCTAGACACGTAGTCTATTTTGGACGTTATGATTTAGACGTAAATGATGAATTTGTAAAGACTATGTAATTCTTTTGCTGCAAGTTTGTATTAAATGATGTCATGTATTTATTTCACGAATAGAAATGGTTTTGAAGCCACTCTTTTTCATTTTGCGGTCTCATTAGGATTTCCAAATTCATGTTAGGGCATAAGGCCATATTGCTATGTAACCGGACTCATTTCGACTTCGATTGATGTATGAAGCTCGTTATGTTTTAATTAAATGCAATGGTGTCTAATAGTAGTTGTATCCTACCTATAAGGTGTTTTCAGGGCAGGTTTAAGCTATATCTAGGCTCATAAAAGAGTTAACGAAAGTACCACGGGTCAAAACAAGCAAATGCAGGCCTTAAGGCCATTTCACCCCAAACCGGTCAACGCATGGAACCTACACGTTGACAGGTATCTCAGTAATAGCAGATTTTGGGCGCGACACTAAACCGGTCAACATGAAGTTGTACACATCGACCGATTTACCTAAACCAGTCGACGTGTGCAGACAGTAACGTCGACTGGTTCCTGCTGCTTCTCCAGTTTCATTTCTTCTCCTCCCGTGTCCAACTCCGACCCATTTGGTGGTGCTATGGAGTACTACAAACCTTAGAATAATGTATCAATTATGTCTCGACATCAGAAATGACCGTAATACCCTTAGATTGACCCCGCGTTCGGGTAAAAACCCGGATAATTATTCAAACTCCCAGGTTCAAGTCCTTACATGTATGGTGTACAGAAACGAAAATTGTGCCACCTCTGCTAATCAACAGATAATCTCATGACCATTTCTTCTTCACTGGTTCATACATTTTGGAGTTTCCTACAGACCCGATGCCGACTCTGTGTCACCCATCTTTCTTGGAACAATTTCATTGTATGGGCTTCAACCCACTGGAGGAGGAGGAGTCTGCAGAATTCAACCAATAAGCTTGTTCTTTCCACCCCTATCAACCGAATTGGACTGAATGGAATGATCTTGCTTTCAAAGGCCAGCGAAGTTCACAATCGAAGTTACTACAGAACACCATTGATATGGTAAAACAAAGGTTACTCTCGATGCAAGTAAAGGACACAAATGTGGCAAGGAGACTAATTCTTGATTGGAACTTCCCTCAATCCTTCATCCGACCTCCTCCTGAGCCGAATTGGTTGCTGATCGCTAGAGGCGTTGCCTCTCTCCTCTGTTTACACCAAGCCGAGCCGAGCCAAGCTTTAGCTTGCTCGGGCTCGGCCGAGCTTGAACTAGCTAGGCTCGGGCTCAGCTTTTTTTCGTTAGGCTCGGACTCGGCTTGGTTTGTAGTATACATTTCAAATGAATCAAGACGCCGTTACTTCAATCGTCAGCATCTGAAATCACCCATCTAATCTCCATAATTCATCCTCCCTTTTGTTGATTCAAACCATAATTCATCCTTTTTTTTCAATTCCAACCGTAACCATCGATCTCCATCTTCAGTTTCATCACAATATAATCAGGAGTGGAAAGAGCAAAGTGAGATTTGTCAGTTTCAAAGGTCACCAAACTTCATCACAATATTTTCAAAGGTAATTTATATATAATCCAGTTTCATCACAATATTTTCAACGGTTCTCACAATATTTTCAACGGTTCTTTATAATGAGGAGCGAAAATATAGTCCAATTTCATCACAATGAGACACTTCACAAAGAGGAGCGAAAATATAATCCAGTTTCATCACAATATTTTCAACGACTCTCTATATATGGACACCAATTTTCTTTTATTTCCTTGCACTTTCTAGCTCGAAATGATATGGTATCACCAAATTTTTAATCTTCTTGTACATTCCAAGTAAAGAGCGATAAAAACAAGAAAAAAAAAAAAAAAAAAAAATTAAAGCTTTTACAAGTACTTCATCAAGCAGGAGTTTAAAACCATTGTTGCAAGTCTAATCAGTCATCAACAGGATCCTGAGGAGTCTCATCTGCACTGCGCTTGATCGAGATGACAGGGCACTCAGCATGCTTTATGCAAAATTCACTCACGGTTCCAACAAAAACCCTGCAAAATAAATTCATAGCGGGTAATTTGAAGACAATGAGAGAAGTTGATAACCATAGATGTTAGTAAAATGAATAATAAAGCTCAACATACTTCTGGAAAGGACCAAGACCCCGGCTTCCAACAACCAGAAAATCTGGTTGGACTCGTTTGACCTCACGGCAGATTTCTTCATTAGGATCACCAATCTTGATCCATGCTTCACAAGAAACCTACAATCATTCCCATATACAGATTAGAAACTTAATTATAGAAAACATGGACAATGTGAAACTTTACAATAGCTATTACAAACTATTTACTGTTACAAGATGAACTCAGAAAGTGTGCGCTCGCGTGTTGGTATATTACATTTTGTGGTGTGCAGAAGGGAAGGGGATAGGGGTGTGTGGGTATGGGTGTGTGTTACTGTTGGTATAGTGGATGTGTTCATAACTTTAAAAATGAAATTTTCCAGTACCCCAATTTCATGACATCTATTGACAAAGTACTCCAGCAGATGAAGCCCTCGTATCTTATCCCCGCGGTTCATGTTCTTAAAGTCTTCAGGCGATGCATATATACTATCCATGTCATCAAAACCTAGAAGAAACATATATATATATATATATATATATATATATATATTAAAAAAGAAAAAAGAAAAAAGTGTCAGCTAGTAATTCTCTTCATTTAATGCGTACTGAAGAAGGCACAAGTTAAGAAGGAATGAAGAAAACAAGTAGCCACTCATCATGGAGAAGGGATGGAAAAGGGCAGGAAAGTGATGACAATAAAGATTAAAGACAAGTAAAGACAGAGGCTGACTCCAGGAAACTCATAGCAAACTGTGATGTCTGAGGTTCTATAAATGGACATCCTCTGACTAACTGGAAAAAAATAAAAAATAAAAAATTGAAGTTTTTTGTCGAAACAATCCCACTATCCCGCATAGAGGAATGATATCCTCTGATTCCATGGAAGTCATTTCCCAGAAATGGATTGGGTGGCGCTACATACAGTATAACGTTCTATAAGCATGCAAGATCCACCACTTCAAATCTGTATACCGTGTCATCTCAATGACAGACTGATGCAAAGATCCAATGAACAACTAATCAAACTAGATCGATTTCATAATTTATTAAAGATTGTCCAGTTAAACAAGTATAGATAGCTATTAAGATTAACTTTGTTATAATAATAAAAGATTTTGTATCCACTGACTCTAAAAGTGGGGGTAAGACCACTGACCACCTCCATGTGACATGAAAATCTACTGAGTCATAAACAAAGAAAATTGTATTTTTGAATGCCTTGAAATTTGATTGAAACATTAGTTTAACATAAAACTTCGAACATGTAAAATTCAATTGCACAATCCAGAAAAAATGGAAGAACATTAAAACATTAATTAGCAACTATATAGTTGTTCTACAATAATTCAAAATGAAAAGAAAAACTAAATGTACATGTACAAAGCACCACAAGAGCATGTGCGTCTTAAATGCACCCATTCAGAATTATACAAAGAAAAAAAAAATGCAATTCAAAATAAGGAAACAACCAACTTCCATAATAAACTGCAATAAACAATGTAATGAAGCACTGCTATTTTCCTTAAAATCTGGTACTTGAAAACCATTTCTAAGGCATCATCCTAGCCTTGGACTTCTAACTTATGTTTCTCAATAAAAGTATTCCTTCAGCAATTGAGCTACATCAAACTCAAACAGCAAAGAAGAGAATTCACATCAAAGATATACATTCAAAATCTTCCCGTACCATTTAAAAAAAGAATATATATATATATATATATATCTAGAAAACTGAAATAGATTGATCAGAAACATCAACTTTAGGAACTTTTTTTCTGATTAATTATCACAATGGGGAGCATCAACATCCTGTCAAAACAAGCACATAAGCTACGTACATGGTTGTCAAGGTCTTTCGATTCTTCTAACCTCTAAATCTTAGAACGCAACTATAAATTAAAATAATAAAGGTTTTCAACTTTTCTCCTTACAATAAAATGGAGTTTGTATGAAAAAAGTACAAAGATATACTCCATAAGTTTCCCCTTCTAAAAAATATTTATATGACATACCAAAGAATTTAATTAGTATGGTAGAAGACCTATACAATTTGACATATAACACAAAACCATACCCATGCCATTTTTAGCTCAAAGAGTAAGGGTTATGTATATGGTGTGTTTAAGTCTCCATGTAATATAATTTAGAATCAATAACACTAATTATCAAGCCAGTTATAGCGAACATATCCAAAAACAAAATTACAGAGGGCTCCATAAGAACCAAAAGCAGAGAAAAAATATTTTCAGACAAGAACACCAAGTATCAGCTCACACATGACAATTTTTGTGACAAGGCATACTAGATTTGCTACGGGCCAAAAAATTGATACAAATTCGGCAGCACTCAAATGAACAAGTAATAATCTGTCCTGATCATTCTATTTATAAGATTGTACTAAATGTATTAATCAAATATCAGCAACTAAAAGAGGAATCAACATGTGCCATATACTTATACTGACTAAAAAATGTAATAAATATTTACAAAAACCAGCACATGTATGGGGTGGGGGGTGCAATCTAAAAAACAGATTCAACAAATCAATTTCGTCTTACTTAGGGCCATTTGAGCTATTGTTTCATAAACATATTAATAAAATTCAATAAACATATACAAACAAGCACATACAAACACATAGACCCCCAAAGTCAGAATCTAACATAGATCGCCCTAATAAAAGCTGTATATGATACTATCCAGAGAAGCAAGTTGATTCCCGAATTATACTCCAACGGAGTGTAATCCATCAATTCCAAGTTTCAGATTGATCCGCACGCACATGTAATTCATGATGACATTTAGTCATTTCATCGAAACAGAAAAATTCACAGAAATCGAAAGCGAAATGGGGTTCATAAACCCTAATTACACAATTCGTGCCAGATACAAGTTCACGTAATCAGATGCATATATGTTATACGTGGATTGATCCATGTGCACATGTAATTCATGATGACATTTAGTCATTTTCTCGAAACAGAAAATTTCACAAAAATTGAAAGCAAAAATGGAGTTCATAAACCCTAATTAAACAATTCGAAGTGCCAGATACAAGTTCAGGTAATCAAATACATATATGCTATATACAAATACATGTATGTATATGTTTACAAGAGCTTAACAAAATATAGGTATACATATATAATAGAGAGAGAGTAGAGAGAGAACCATCCTCGTCAGGGACGTGAACATGGAGAAAGAGGAGCTTGAAACCAGAGGTGTTGGAACGAACGATCTTCTTCAGAGTCCACTCGAAAGCGCCTTTGCTGCTTATGGAAGCATGAGGATAGCCCTTGATCGTCGACTGGTTCACTCCCACCATTATCCGAGTCGGCACCGATTCAGCTCCACTCTCCATAGCTCACTCACTGAGTCGCCTCTCCCTCTCTCGCCTTTTCAGTTCTCTCTTCTCTCTGGACTTTGTTTCGAAGTTTCTCGACTAGTCCTCACTCGTTCAGCCCCGTTTTAAAGGACGACCTACTCTGTGCTGTGCCGCACACATGGGCGCATCGTTTGCTAATGGCGCACTGTTGCGTATTTTTGCCTTTGATTTGCTAAGATGAGCCTGACAGTTGACAAGCTGATTTGTCGCACTTAAGGGGACGTGTCCCCATTCTATCCAAAAAAAATGGCGGGACGTCTAGCGTCTTCATTGTCGGTTTGCGAAGCAGCGAACGTAAAAATTTGGCATACCATTTGCTGACCAATTATAACTCGAAACCTTAATATATTTATTTATTACTTTCCTTATTTCAATTTAGATGTCATTTTTTAAGAGTAAGAATTTTTAAAAAAATATGTTTTGTTTTTCTGAAAAGTTACTAATTTATCTTTTTAAGTTTTAAGTTTAAAATTTTAAACTCTGAGGATATATATGAAAATATGTAAAATATATTATTTGAAAAAAAAAAGTGATAATTATATTGAAACAGATCAAAAAAAGAAAATTTAATAATTTTTTATTATTAGGGATTACAAATAATAAAAGCAAAATGCTACCAATTTTTATCCACCTTAGAATGGAACGTCAAGCAGAATGCTACCAATAATTGTAAAAAATAATATAAATTTTTTTTTTTTTGGAACGTAAAAATAATATGTATTCCTTCTATCAATTGCATAGATTGGGTAGTAATCAAAGTCCTAAAGGGTATAATCATCCAAATTAATGCAGTAGTAACTTGAACCTCTATAAATGTTGGAATAGATCTAATTATTTTTTTAAGAAAAAAAATTTGTGCAAGGCAAACAGCTAAAATTTTCGAATCTCCATTTTTTTATAATTCGGCATAATCATAATATTATTTCTATTGTGAGTTTGAAACAAGGAACAACCTCTTTATATGTTAGGCTAAGCTTTTAAATATTATTCCTAATCTTACAACGACAAAAAACTGAATTTATTCTTTTAAAGAAAAATCTATCTATCCTTCAAAGAGTATTTTGAATTTGGGACTTTTCAATAATGCATGATAATTGATACAATAGTATTCTTAGAATACAAACAGATTTTCTTCTAACATATATTTTCCTAGAAAATCTTGTTACTTTTGAAAATTAAGAGTACTTTTAGTTAACAAATTCTTTCTTTTATTTACCGAGAAAAACAAATTCCTTCTTTTTATTCGAACCTCTATTTCCTCTCTCTCACCAAAGAAGCAACATATAGAGTTTTTTGTTTTAGGTATTTTCGAAAAAATATAAAAATAAAAATAAAAACAAAAACAAAATAAAACACAAGCCTTTTTGGACCACGTCCGGGCAAGAGTGGATTCAAAAATGAATAATGGGGTGGGTTAGTACTATTATTTATTTATTTCTTGGGGTAAAATTACCTCTTAAAAAAAAAAAAAATTGGGGTGGGCTTGAGATCCGCCAATGCGCACGGATTTGAACCGCTCTCCTCTTCTTTAAAGATGGGAGGTTATGCTATTAGACCAAATGCTCTTTGGTAACAGCAATATAGTTGCACAAAATAAAATATAGTCTTTCATGTAAAAAAAATGTTTTTTCTTAATTATGAATTTATAACAAAATTCAAATTTTTTTTTTTTTGATAAAAATCAAACTTATGGATCCATAATCTTTACAATCAAGAGTTAAATTAAAATCATCCAATATACAAAATTAAATCTCTTTAATTTAAATTGGATTGCTTCATTTTATGAGTGACATGAGAAAGCGCAACACGAGCTCAAATTCAAGTGAAATGTCTTGCTAAAACTTCCAAATGTAAAATTTACTTTCAACTGGAGAGAAAGTGGGCTTTCTATCAATTTTCATTAGTGGGCTTCCTATCAATTTGGTTTAATGGAATAACACATTAATGGATATACAGTCCAAAGAGTTCCAATCCACACAGTGACACGCGTGATATGTCCCAACACAAGACATGCCAAATCATATACGTTCTTGGCCAGCTTTAGCCCCAATTCTCAAGAAATTTCATTGCATCTCTTGCACTCGCTCATTCAAATTATTTTATATAATGCATGCACGATAATAAATGATTAAATGTGTTTTTTGAACGGTGTAATGGGTACAATTTTATTTTTATTTTTTATTTTTTATTTTTTTTTTACTTTTTATTTTTTTGCAAGAGTGTATTCGGACCGAATCGTTTATATAATACTAGATCCATCCCAATTTAAGTGTCATGTTTTGGGAACTGTGATTCACGATTCCCAAAATAGGACACTTAATTTGGGAAGGAGAGAGTAAGCGATTGGATGTATCCGCTGCACGGTATAACGGACGCAAAAAAAAAAAAAAAATTCTCTCAAATGTCCTTAGTGTTTCTTACATTTTTTGTGGTCTCTACCACAACAATTAGCAATGTGGTTGTCTTCTTAAAATTTTAATGACATCTCAAAGTTAAAGCAAAATCAGCCACAAATTACAAATAATAATTCCACACATAGTCTAAACTTTAAAATCCTTAAAATTACAAAATCAAGCATGTATAAACTCAATTTTTTCTATAACTAGTTTAGCCTTGGTAGCAAGGGAGATCGTAAAAGTGTAGGTTGTGAATGATGACATATCTTGCATATTAAGTTTTTATATAAAGAACTTAAAACATTACTTTTCAGACCTAATAATTTAATTTAATCGAAAAGATAGCTGGAAATTTTTAAGGGATACATATTTCTTCACTAAACTTTTCAGACCATTTAGACTATAAAATTTGAAAATCATTATCCTAGAACTTATTATTATTATTATTATTATTATTATATACATATATACACACACACACACATTTGAAGAAAGTGAGATAAAGGGAAATATCTGTAATCTTTAGAAGCCATAAATGTATTTTTGTCTACTGCAATTTGTCTTCCCCAATTAAGGAAGGTTATGACAAAATTTCAACAAAAATTTAATAATAATGGATATGAGAGCAGCTGGCTTCAAAAACTACCCAGATCAAACCATCACAATGATTCCTTTGACAACATGTTACCTCTGTCACCTAAAATTTTCACCCAAGTAAAACCTAAAATTTTCACCCAAGTAAATTTGACTTTTGTCATATACTAGTAGCAACATAACGGTACCCTAATTTCACCCATTCTATTGATATTTCTTTTCATGGACAGATAAAATGTGACAAGAGGAAAAACATAACTTTATATAGACTATATAGTATTTTGGATCAATAATATTAAATACTTATGGATACTTTTTTATAATAGAAAATAGAGTATGCTAATTAATTTTTTTTGACAGATTTCAATCGGTAGTGTTCATCAAGAATTCTTAATCTCTAATTAATAAGATAGATTCTCTATCCTTAAAATATTTTTATTAATGATTGATAGTCCATTATAAAAATCAATCGCCACTTCTATAATTTTCTTAAAAAATAACTTCGAGTACTTAAAGTACCAAATATTTTCTCTTCAATAATTGCTAAGAAGAGTAACAAAAATAAGAAGAATACAAAAGAAAAAGAAAAGATGAATTTGAGTGTCTCCTAGAATTTTTTTTTTTTTCATTTGCAATTCACTAATGTATCAAAATTATTTACATGAAAGAACACATCACTAGGAAGGTAGGTTTGGCTGCATATTTTCAATAAAATACACAAAATCTAAAGAACAAAGGAAGAGAAACTAAAGAAAGTTCCATCATAATACAAAAGAAAATTAACCTAGGTCATATTCTTCATTTTCCTTACAAAATTACTAGTCACTAGTTCAAGCCCAAGGGTAAATTAGACTGTTAAAGATATATACCCCCAAGACTACAACGAAGTGGAAAATAAAGATAATAAATAAACAACATTTCTTCCCTTAATTGCCCTTACCTTGAGATTGAATTCCTCCACTGAAGGAAACCCTACCAAAACTCAAATGACCCAACTCGTACAACTCTAACCAAACACCCTCCTCTTCACTCAAAGTGTCATTTTGCTCTTCATCTTGGAACCCAGATGTTACAATTTCTGAATTTCCCACATCTGCCCTTCCCATTCCCGGAATTCCATCTATCTCCGCCACATGACTTTTCCCACATTTTCTCTTCTTTTTCCCGAATCCCAAACACCTCTTCCCCATCATCCACGGAGCTTTGACAAATGCAAGGCCCAAGAAAGTCACGACAGCGCAGGGGCAGCAACAGAGTGCCACACAGTCAGCAATCAACCCGCCGGTGCATGATCGGCAATGCTTGCCGGAACACTTGATCGAAGAATCTCCGGCATCATCCAACGAATCACACCGGTGGTTGTTCCTCCTTGTGGCTCCCATTTTTGAGGACTTGTGGGACCCTTCTTTACGAGGAACTCGAGGTGGGCTTTCCTCCATTTGATCTCTTGATGGTGTTTGATCAGTGTGGAACCTGCAAAAGATGAAGAGACTGTCTATGTCATGACTCTCTCTATCTATCACAATGCGTATATAGATTATATATATGTATATGTATATGTATATATATATATATATATTGAAATGTTTGTAATGTGTGCACACGTACAAGGAGTGGAGGGTTTCCATGCATTTATCTTTGTAATCCGAAAAGGTTAGAGAGTCCATCATCATCCATGTAATGTTATATATAAAGGGTAATCGTACATGCCTAAAGTGAAAAACAGAGCAAACAAAAAGTCACGCGCTCAATGCATGCGTGCTCATCACCCTTAAATATCTAGGTTTTGTTTTCTCATTTTTTGATTTCATATGAAGCGAAGAATGATATTTTTGCTTTGCTGTAACTAAAATTTGTTGCATAATATTTCAAATAAAAAGGAAAGTCTGAATGATGGTTAAAAAAAATGTGTTATTTACGATGTATTGATTTTTTATAAAAATAAATTGGGCCTCATTTAAAATAGAAGTGACACTATGCAATACGAAACACCTAATAAAAATAGTTCCCAAATTAATACCGTGTAAGTTTGACTCATTTGGAGGGATAAGATGCAGCGGTTTTTACATATAATTTGAAATTTTTCTTAGTAAAAATTTAAGTTTCAAATTTTAGTGGATTAGATTTGAAAGTACTAACAAAGATACTTAATAGATGTACGTTCTCTTATCAATTTGGAGTATTTAAAAGAGACATTTATTTTAGGAAGCTAATATCTTGAATTATTGAATAAAATCAGGATTTAATGGCAGATTTGAATTCTCGATTTTTTATTTTAAAAAATAATAAAATTATTATTATGCTTGAGCTTTTGTGTTTGGACTTTGGGTTGAATTACTACTTGATTGGAGGAAATAGAGACTAAACATTAAGACTCTCTTTGTTTGGATATAAAATATTTAAAAAAATATTTTTTTTAAATATTAGTATTCGGTTGTCGTAAAGTATTTACGGAGAAAAAAAAAATTAACAAAAAAAATTTATTCATCAATTCTCGGCAATTCATTTTACATGCCCCGTCCGATAGATTTGATCTCAACCTGGATGTAAACTTTCGCCAAACATTGAAAAAATATAAATAAAAGAATATTTTACCTGAAAAAAAAATTCAAAAAAAAAAATTTATATTGAAACAAATAGAGGAGAAAGGGTTTATCTTACAAAATATAAGGAAAACTCCAAGTTTCAAATTGAAAGAATTTGAAGGAAAAAGTAACAATAAAATTACTAGTATACCGTAGTAATTATGTGTTTTTGTTCCCATTTTTAGAATTAGTGCATTATTCTTTTTGTTTTTACCACTCACAAAGTAAAATAATTTCCTTATTTTTTATTTAAATTTTAGTTTCAAAACACAATAAACTCTCTTTTCCAGATTTGAAAGGAGGAACAAACACCACAAAAAAAGTTGACATTGTTCTCCTATTTCCTTTTACCCTTGCAGAGAAGGTGGAAAAACATTTTGAATATTAGCAAAGCCTTCCCCATTTTGGCAAATTGACAGCAAAGGAAGGGTAAAATGACAAGAATGCCCTTATCATACAAACAGGGAAACGTGATAGTGACATTTAATGAATATAGCTGCTGAATTGGATGTGGGGGTTGGACCTGATTTAAATCAATTGCCTTAAAAATGAAAAAGTGGACTTTGTAAGGGAATGTGAAAGGGACAGAGACACCTCAGACAGGAGCCAAGTTTGTGAAACAATTCGCATCAGCTACACCCCCCTTTACATATGTGAGTCAGTATGTGAGGAACCAAAAAATAAAATCAACTTTTTACTTGTCTTGTTCTTACTTACATAAGCTGTGAAACATTGTTGGTTTTTGTACACACAATCCATCGTCTCAGTTGTCAAAATAATTTCATGAGATTTTTTTCACAATTTTTACCATGTTTGGCACATGATTAACATGCTTCATGTGAGATTTGGTACCATTAATTTTGGGGAAAAAGTCTTGAATCTTTCTTTAATTTGTAATGCATTTGAAAATATCATCTTTTGTTATTGTATTTTTAAGTAATTGTGGACTTATTGACACGCCCGGATCTTCTACGATAAATTTTGGTGTTGTAGTGATTGTTATACTGATATTTCCAGTTATATGTAATGTGTTGAAAATCACTGTATAACACCGCCACAGATGAAGAATTACCGCAAAGGATCTGGGCTCGTAGGAAAAAAGAGATAAGATGAGTGGCTATGAAGATGTCACCAAAGGACTTCAAGCTCTTGCTTAGAACTTTTTTACTGCTCAAAGCTCAAGTCGTCTTCTGATTTGCATCTTCAGGTTATGAACACTAGTCTTTCCACTATATTTAATAGCTCAAATTCAGTAAAACCAAACTATTTCATGAAGTATTGTGAAAAATATGTCTAGCCTAATATACAAAATAACAAATTCAATCAATGGTTTCCCACTCATGTCAAGAAAATTTTGCAACATTTAACATAATGGAATGGAAGTTAAATACTAGCTTTAGTAAAAATTTTGATAATACCGGATATATTAAGCATGGTTGCACAAAATTGTTGTTGACAAATTGCCACACATAGAGGCATCTTTGTAATGTGTCTGTCTAGACTGTCTCTGTATTTCTCATAATCTCATGTATTTACTCATACCCATGATAATATCTAGGTTTGCATTTCAACCTTGATGGATCAAAATCCTTTTCAGCCTAGTATTCTAAGGTGTGTGCAGGGACGGACCAACAAAGTATATGAGAGGGGTGGGCGGGCAACTTTTAACCCAAAAATGTTGTTAGGGCAATAGTGGAATTTTTCTATACTTTTAGTGGGGCAAATTTAACATTTTATAGGTATATAATTCGAAAAAATAAAATTAGTAGGGAATAATTTCAGTGGGGGCAATCGTGGAAGAGCATCCCAACGCATTCTATTTTTCAATATTATGTGATCATGTAACAATTGAATGGTTTTGGTGTGCGCATTCTACACTTGTGGGTCCCAGCTCTACTTGTGTAGAATCAAGTAGAGAATGTACGTTTTAGAATGGTGGGAACATTTGTGTCCTTTTATTATTTTAAATAAATTTATGGTGTATGAGGAGTGTGTGTGGATAAATTTTAAAAATAATAAAATAAATAAGTGTAGAATATAAAAGATGGGTGCCCAACAAGGGAGATAAATCTTCAAAACATTGTGTATAACTATGTCACCACAATTGCTAACATGTAACATGATAATACACTTTATGAAAGCTAGAATGAGAGTGGAGATGTTGCATTGGGATATTCTAACACCATTACCTCAAAACTGTCTTGGTCATAAATAAGGAAAAATGATTTGTAATCTGAAAAGTCATTTAGGTCACTGAGAGGCTCACATGCCCTGCTCATAACGAGCCATTGGATGCAGTCATCATATCAAACTCTCTATCACGACTCTTTGAATAAACATATCTACATTCTCAAAATAATATTTATCTATTCAAAATAATAATATATATATATTTTTTAAGTTGAAATATTAATATTACATCATTCAAAGTAAATGTGTTTTATGTGTATAACAAAACAAAGTACAAAAATTTGTTTTGGAGAGTGGAGAGTGGAGAGCATTTGAATCCCACCCTCAAAGGGGGTGAGAAGTTGAGAAAAACCCTCCAAACACACAGACACACAATAGCAAGAGCAAGCCCACAAGCGGATCCACTTTACTGAATGGGCCAGGAATATACCATCTTTACCATCCCAGTTACCAACTTAGACGGGGCCTTTACAATTACCCATATAACAAAAGGCCCAAAAACAATCTATAAAAAGCGAACACGGTTCCTTCCCCATAGCATCATTCAGAAACCCTAGATGGTATCAGCCTTTAGCGGCTCCTGCGGTTTTTTTTTTTTCTTCTTCTTCGTCTTCTAGTTTAAAACCCTAATTCTGATTCAGTAGTTATATCTCTTTATACGTCTTATTGATGGTGGGTGGTGGCAAAGATGAGCAAAGCTTTATTTCTGACACCTCTTGTATGAGAAGTGCCTTTGAAAAGGCTCTTCTTTGAGCACACAAAGCAACCCTCTGAGCCCAACGCTTCTTTATTTAATTGCTATTTGATTTTACTAATGTTTTTGTGTTGATATATATGTATATGTGCAATTGATCATCTGTGATTGTTTATATATTGGGTGTTCAGATTCATATCAAATCTAATTTTTAGATTTGCTTCTGTTTGATTAACCCACTCATGCATATGGATCTACAATTTTTTTAAACGCAATTACATGTATTTTTAACCCATGTAAATCTAAATTTGATTTTAGCAATATTTCTGTTTATATATATATGTGCAATTCCTATTGTGTATATATATATTGGGGCTTATAGATTCTCTTCTGTAGCGTGCTATAATGTTTTTGTGTGTATATATATTGGGGCTTATAGATTCTTTTCTGTAGCGTGGTATAATGTTTTAATGCGATTACATAATTTTGATATATGCACACACACATATATATATGTGCAATTCCGTTTCGACATATATATATAAATTGTTGTAATTGCGTTAATTGCACCTGTGTCAATAATTAACACAAATAATTATGAAAAAAAAACGAGCAGAAATTCAGGCAGCCCCCTTCCTTTAAAAAGAAAATGGGGAGGGAGGTGTTAATCTGCTCGGAAATTGATCTTGTGCTCTTCAGACTTTGCCGAGATTGATTTTTCAATCTTTGAAGCTGGTCTAGTAACGCATAAGTACATTCCAACTTTTAACTCCAATGTATCATTATTTTTGTTTTTTTATTTTTGTGATATTTTTTATTGTTATTATTATTATTATTGTTTTTATGTGTAATATTGAAGATTTTGGTATTTTTGTTTGGATTATCTGATTTATTTTTCAATTTAAATGCATTCAATTGAAAATAAAGGAATGAATAGGAAGAATAGTTCAATTTAAATGCAGTATTTTGTCACTGCATTCATACTAACTTTAACTGTTTTAAAATTGGTATATATATTTATATATTTTGTACTCTTTTAATTTAATTGTAATTTTAAAAATGGTAAATACTCAATTATATGTCATAATATAAAATAATTTTTTATTATAAAAGAATTCATATTATATACCATATATATTTTAAATGGTGTATATATATGTTTAATTTAATTATAAAAAAAAAACTAAATCATGAATAAGAACCAAAACTGTTTTCTATTGTTTTGTTTCGTATTTTAAATTATTTGATACTAAATTTTTATAGAATCGAACTTTTAAATTTTTATAGAACTTTTAAAGAATAATTTGATCATAAAGTATTCCGTTTGTTAAAGAATGATTTAATTCTAAAGTATTTCGGTTCTGTTTGGTGTGTTCATTCTTATGTTATATGTTATAGTTTGATTTTAAACTTTTATGGAACAATAAGAACAATTTGATTCTAAAGAATTCCGGTTTTGTTTGGTGGTTTTATTTTTATGGTATAGTTTGATTTTAAATTTTTATAGAACTGTTAGAATGATTTGATTATAAAGTATTCTAGTTCTGTTTGGTTGTTTCATTTTATGATATAGTTTGATTCTAAATTTGTATAGAACTATTAAAGAACATTTCGGTTCTGAAGTGTTTTGGTTCTAAAGTATTCAACATTTAAATTTTTTCATGCACACTTTATTATTAGCGACTTAAAATTTCTAAACTTTTTGGCAGTTATTTTATAAATTTTATTTTTTGATCTTTGAGTATTAGTCAATCACATTACCAAATTAAACAATTGAGTAGGTTCAAAGCCGGTGTATACAAATAACACATTTTGATGTTATATTTTTATCTTTTTATAGGCAAAATATGATATAATTTGGCCAATTTTGCCCATGAATATTTGATAATAAATTTTTATTTTACAAATATTAATGAAATATTTACACCACGCTACAAATATGTTGGAAATGGACATTTTTTTCATTAAATTTTATCATATTTTCCAAAAAGTGCAACTTTCGTGTGGATCCCACAGACCCGATCATTTAATATTTCTCAAATACACTATTTTGTTTAAAAAAATATAATAAAAATAATAAAAAATATTAATATTTAGCCAATTAAATTATGAATATAAAAAAAATTAATTTCTCCATTTTATTGTTATATCCCTTTGCACAACCATTTTAAAAATGGTATATATATTTATATATTTTGTACTCCCTTAAATACTCAACTATATATCATAATATAAAATAAATTTTTTTTTTTATTATTATAATAGAAATGATATTATATACAACATATATTTTAAATTGTTTATATATATATATATAATTTAATTGTAATTTTAAAAATGTTATATATATTTAATATTTTGTACTCTTTTAAATATTCAACTATGTGTCATAATATAAAATAATTTTTTTATTATAAAAGAATTTATATTATATACAATATATATTTTAAATTGTGTATATATATATATGTTTAATTTAATTATATAAAAAAAAAACTAAATCGTGAATACTAACCAAATTGTTTTCTATTTTGTTTGGTGGTTTCATATGATTCTAAATTTTTATAGAACCGTTAAAAGAATGATTTGATTCTAAAATTTCTAAAGTAGTTTTGTTTGGTGGTTTCATTTTAATGATATAGTTTGATTTTAAATTTTTATAAAACTGTTAAATGATTTGATTCTAAAATATTATGGTTCTGGTTGTTTCATTTTTATGGTATAGTTTGATTCTAAATTTTTATAGAATATATTCTGATTCTAAAATATTCTGGTGTACTTTCAACATTTAAATTTTTTCGTGCACACTTTATTATTAGCCTTGCCGACTTAAAATTTCTAAACTTTTCCCACGAGTTCCATAGTTATTTTATTTAGTCAATCACATTACCAAATTATGATGCAACAAATTTAAAAATAAGAGATAGTTCTACCCAAATGTTGGAGACAAACAAATGTAGTAATTTCAAATGTCACAAGAACTGATATTTCATTACCTTAACAAAACGGATGTACACTCTTTTTATTTGCAAATAGTATTTCACTTAGATTTTGATGATATAATTGGGGCAATTTTGTCCCAAGCTAATATGAATATTTGATAACAAATTTTTATGAAAAAGTATAAATGAAATATTTACACCACTTTACAATATAGAATGTTGGAAAATGACTTTTTTTTTTTTCATTAATTTTTAGTATATTTTCCAAAAAATGTGTCAAAAGAGGTCATTTACACGCACAACTTCCATGGCATTACCACAACGGTATTTGAATGGATTATGGCCCTGAAATTTACTGCGTCAGTTCTTAGATATTGTGGATCCAGTATGACCATAGATCGAAATTCATTTAATATTTCTCAAATACACTATTTTGGTCTAAAAAATATATAATAAAAATAATAAATAATATTAATATTTAGCCATATTTCTCTGATGTTTGGATATATTTGCTCTCAACACACTACTCGATTTCATAAAATAATACAGTCTACATCGACAACAAAACGACATTGGATGAAGCCACCTTGAATTTTGTTTACACCACTACAATAAGCAATGTCCTAGTTTATGTCATGCTGCGACATTAGCCGGGAAAGCTTCATATCAGACAACTCGAACAGAATTCGAAAATGGCTGGATGAATTCCTTGTTGTCGTCTTAATTTGCATCGCAGTCGCCTTTGCCAACTCTTCTGCCTCATCCTCATTCTGATCACATAATCAAAGCAAATATACCTCCCAAACGCTGTCTTGTTCATTGCTTCAAACACATATACATGTCCCTCTGCTAATCTATTCACATCAACACTCGCCAACAATCCATCTGCATACATCTCTTGAACTCCTGCATTTTAACAACAGTTGCTGCGTCAAGCCTCTCTAAAAAGGCCAGTCTAGTGCACGAGGCTCTTGTCATTGCTCTTTTTTGCATGGATGGTCTGTTTTGGATTTGAATTTCAAACACGTGACTTCTAGGTCTCGATGGATGCTCAACTTACTATTGCGCCCTATGATTAAGCTTATTGGATTGAACAGAGCTTTGTAAACTCACACATGTAATGTAACACATGGAATTCTATGGAATGATGAAACTTTCTGAAAATTTGGAGGATGAAGAAAACAATAATACCTTTGAGATAAGCAATACTTGCTTGTTTGGTGGTTTTATGATTCTAAATTTTTATAGGATCGAACTTTCTGTCTGGTGGTTTCATTTCTATGTTATTTGATTTTAAATTTTTATAGAACTGTTAAAGAAAGATTTGATTGTAAAGTATTCCAGTTCTGTTTGGTTGTTTCATTTTTATGTTATAGTTTGATTTTAAATTTTTATAGAATTGTTAAAGAACGATTTGATTCAAAAGTATTCTGGTTCTGTTTGGTGTTTTCATTCTTATGGTATAGTTTAATTTTAAATTTTTATCAAACAGTTGAGAACGATTTGATTCTAAAAGAATTCCGGTTTTGTTTGGTGGTTTCATTTTTATGGTATAGTTTGATTTTAAATTTTTATAGAATTGTTAAAGAACAATTTGATTCTCAAGTATTCCGGTTCTGTTTGGTGTTTTCATTTTATATATAGTTTGATTTTAAATTTTTATCGAACAATTAAAGAAAGATTTGATTCTAAAGAATTTCGGTTTTGTTTGGCGGTTTCATTTTTTACGGTTTTGTTTGGTGGTTTCATTTTTATGATATAGTTTGATTTTAATTTTTTATAGAACTGTTAAAGAATGATTTGATTCTAAAATATTCTGGTTCTGTTTGGTTGTTTCATTCTTATGGTATAGTTTTGATTCTAAATTTTTATAGAATTGTTAAAGTACGTTTTGGTTCTAAAGTGTTCCAATTCTAAAGTATTCTGGTATACTCTCAACATTTAAATTTTTTCGGATTAGCATTACCGACTTAAAATTTCTAAACTTTTCCCACCCGAGTCTCATAGTTATTTTATAAATTTTATTTTTTGATCTTTGAGTATTAGTTAATCACATTACCAAATTATGATGCAACAAATTTAAAAGTAATAGATAGTTCAACGGAAATGTTGGAGGCAAACCAATGGGGTCGGTTCAATTGTCACAAGAACTGATATTACATTACTTAACAAAGCTGATGTACACAAATAACACAATCTTTTTATATGCAAATAGTATTTCACTTAGATTTTGATATAATTTGGCCAATTTTGCCCCCAAGCTAATATGAATATTTGATAACAAACTTTTACTTTACAAATATAAATGAAATATTTACACCACTTTACAAATATAGGATGTTGGAAATGGATATTTTTTTCATTAATTTTTAGCATATTTTCTGAAAAGTGTGACAAGGGGTCATTACATGCCACAACTTAGGTGACGTTACCACAACCTATTTTTGATATTTGAATGGTTTATGGGCCTGAAATTTACTGAGTCAGCTCTTAAATCTTGTGTTCCCACAATATGACAGATCGAAGTTCATTTAATATTTCTCAAATACACTATTTTGGTCTAAAAATAATAATAATAATAATAAAATATTAATATTTAGCCATATTTCTCTTATGTTTGGATATATTCGCTCTCAACACACTACTCGATTTCATATAATAACAGTCTACATAGACAACAAAACAACATTGGATGAAGCCACCTTGAATTTTGCTAACAGCACTACAATATGCAATGTCCTAGTGTTTGTTCTGCTGCTAACATTCACTACGACATTGCATTCTACTTGACATTAGCCGGGAAAGCTTCATATCAGACAACTCGAACGGAATTCGAAAATCACTGGATGAATCCCCTGATGTCCTCTTAATTTGCATCCCAGTCGCCTTTGCCAACTCTTCTGCCTCATCCTCCATTCTGATCACACGATCAAAGCAAATGTACCTCCCAAACGCTGTCTTGTTCATTGCTTCAAACACACATACATGTCCCTCTGCTAATCTATTCACATCAACACTCGCCAACAATCCATCTGCATACATCTCTTGAACTCCTGCATTTTGACAACAGCAGTTACTGAGTCAAGCCTCTCTAAAATGGTCTAAAAAGGCCAATCTAGTGCACGAGGCTCTTGTCATTGCTCTTTTGCATGGATGGTCTGTTTTGGATTTCAAATGCGTGACTTCTAGGTCTCAATTGAGCAACCTTACTATTGCACCCTATGATTAAGCTTATTGGATTGAAAAGAGCTTTGCGCCCAATGGAATGATGAAACTTTCGGAAAATTTGGAGGATGAAGAAGACTATAATACCTTTGAGATAAGCAATAGTTGCTGTTGGATTTCTGTGACAGAATTCGGAACCAGTAACCAAACCTGGGCAGATTGTTACCAGTTTCAACCCTCTCTGCTCGGCCACTCTCCATGCCGCCTTCTCTGCCCTCAGTTTTCCCAATGCATACCAGAGCTGCCATTGTTCAAACACCAAAAATATCGAAGTTTACAAAGGGTAAAATGTCTCCTTTGCTAAAACATTTACTTTGGATTGATACAGTGTTCAATGCACAAATGTCACATGCTATTACCAACTAATTTTGTCTTGTCATATAATTAAAAAGGTTCATCTATGTATTGGTAACTATCAGTATGTGTTAGCATTTAATTAAACAATTTGTTAAGATGAGATCGAGATCAACATTTCTAGGGGTAAGGTTCTAGGTCCATGACTCTATCTATAGGGTTTTTTGCCCCCAAATTGCCATATTTCCAATTGACTGAGAAAAACCATTTTGATAGGGAGGGAAAAATACCTTTTTGTCTACCATCTTAGCAAGAAGCCAAAGTAAATAACTGGTAAAATTTCTCCTTTAGATCGAGCGGCAAATCTATTGCATTGGATCCTATCAGTACGTGTTAGTATTTACTATTTAGTTTATCGGTGATACCTTACTAATGATATGACAATTGTGTGTGTGTGTATATACATTTTTACTTGTGTTGAATGTAAATTAAGAGATCATTGGCTTCTTGTTAATATGATATCAACATTTCTAGGCTTAAGGTTCTAGGTCCACGACTCTTATCTATGATCTGATTTTTGATGTCCCCAACTTACAATATTTCCAATTGAATGAGAAAAACCATTTTAGTAGAGAGTGAAAGGTACCTTTTTGTCCATGCAGAGAGATTCATCACTCCAGCATTCATGGTTAATTACAGAAGGGAGGTCATCGCGGGACTTGTCGTGCCAAATGCAGGCCAGAAGCGATGATGTGAGTACACACTTTCTAACCGATGATGTTCTTGCACATGCCTCCATTACACACTCACTTGCCTTCACTTCTATATCAGCCATGGATTTCTGAAAAAATACAAATTCCAAGGAATTATTCACATTGTGGATATAATTAAAGAAAGTAACTTCTATGAGAAAATCAATCTTTTTGTATGGTAGGTGATGATACACACCTCACTAAAAAACAGAGGACAAAAATGCTATAGGTTGAAGAAACACAAAGGTAGAAGGGACTCAAGAGACTTAAACCTTTTAATTTAATAAAAAAATATAAATTAAATACAATTTCGTTTTCGCACAATTAGATGGTCATATTGAACTTAAATGTAAAACCAAGAGTCACAAAAGCATCACATCACTCACTTATCAAAATGATGTTTTTGGCTCGAATTTCACACTTTAATAGTGAAATTTTATCACCACAATGGTGAAATTTCAAAGTAAATGTAGTGAATTTATCTTAAGGTAACCCCGAAAAGTATACTAGAGATGATCTTGGTTCCATGTACACAATTGAAAGGAGCAGATGAAAATTTTATCTGCTACCGGATGTTGCAAAACTTTCTTACAAGCTTTAGAGGCGGCATAGGTTAAAAGATGGATCAAATTATGTTACTACATTTTTCACTTCTCTTCTTTTAAAAGAAAACTGGTCTTAATTACAATACATGAAGGGCTTTCTGGAAATGAAAAAAGTAGTAGTAATAGATTGATACCTAACTTTAGCTGGAAAGCAACCCTTGCATAAATGTGAGGGCCCAAGTTAGGTGTTGGCCTGTAGAGGAATAATAGAGAGGCATTATGAATGCTGTCTTTTCAGATGTTACATGCATGTTGGACCAGAGAATGCTTCTCCATTCTCTAGAGCATTCTCAAGTGAATAATTAATTAATCAACTTTAAGGAGCGGTGGCGGTGTTGTCCGAGTGGTAAAAGATCAGAAATTAAGTGTCTCTATTACATTCTTTTAAGTTTGAATTCCCGACTCTCTAACCATTGCCGGGTAAAAAAAATAGGCCCTAGACACTTATCAAAAAAAAAAAAAATAGGCCCTAGACAATGTAATTTAGTAGTACCAAAAAAACAAAAACAAAAAATACACGTCACAAGCTAAGTGTGAGTATTTGTTGTTGGTAACGATTTCGGTTGGTCCAATTTCGATTGAAAATAGGTTTCTTGCAGTCAAAACGGTTCAGTGAAACTATCTCAAAAATTGTGTCAATTTATTCGTTTTACCATGTGATGGTCCAAACGGTCCCATACTTAATGAAGCGAATTTGGTATGACAACTACCCTCCGTATGATTATTTAGTTTTCACCTTAATTGTATCGGTCGTTAGGTAGGGCACATCACAGAGAGGTGGGCATCACACATTGGCTTGTTGAAATGCAAGCCAAAGGACTGCACAGCCTTTAGATGGAGAAAGTATTCAATACCCCGGAGTTACTTACATGAATTCCCGGCCAATGAAGAGTCGTGAAAACTCTCAATTTTCCTTAGTAGAAAATGCCAATTTTATAAGAAATGATGACTCTCCCTTGGAGTGGGTGTACCACATAGTAAGTACCCTCGGGATTTTAGGGCTGTGCAGTCCTTCTATGACACATATTCGGTGCTACTCTTCGGTAATAATAAAAAAATTTAATTCTTTACAAAAAAAATTAAAAAAAAAAAAAAAAAAAAAAAAGGGGAAAAGGAGAGAGAAAGAGGGAGGACTCACAGTATAACCAGAGACCCCTGCGGGGTCAACTAAGGCAGATGTGTGAAACACGCCATGGCAACCCTCCATTGCTTGAGCTAAGCTTTCAATTTCAGTTAATGAGGCCACAACTGCTTTCATTTTGTTGTTAGCTCCCCTCATCTCTCCTAATATTTCCATTTCTCTCAGCTTCTCTGCATCACCTGCATTTGTATATGTGTGTACGTATACGTTACATTACATGACTACATACATTAAAATTATAAAATCGCTTTCATTAGTTTAAATAAGCCTAAACAAATATTACTCAAAATTTTTGAAAAAAAAAAAAAAAAAAAAAAATTGATAATAATGATAATAAAAAAATAGGATAGTATGGTCAGCTAAGTGGTGATTTTCAATTCCAATAATTTTTATTAAAAAAAAAAAAATTGTGATACCATTTTATCACACTTTGTTGAAGATTGATTGTTTCAACAGTTCCAAAAGTATTATGACTAATAAGTGTTCATGACATATGGGGACGGATCTAAAAATTCATATGGGACAAATTTATATAGAGGAATTTTTTTCATAATTTCAGTAGGAACAATTTCAAAATTTTATGAATATAAATGCAAAAAAATTATAAATTTAGTTATATAAAATGCAATACAAAAAAAATTTCAATGGGAGCAGAATACATCCGTGCATGATGACATGGTATCATTGTTGTCTACTTGACCCTCTCGTTGGGTTTTTAGTTGGAGTCTCACTAATTCGTTACTTATTCGAGAATTTAAAGTGACTAACAAGTGATTTGATTATTGGTAAAAGATGAAAAGTAAAGGAAACAAAAAAAAAAGTTATAAAAATAGTGCTCGCACTGGCAGATACAGGGGTGGGCTCAAGCCCATCAGAGCCCACCCCAAAACAATTTTTTTTTTTTTTTAATAGAGATAATTTTATTGCAGCCCAAAATAATAAAAATAACATTCCTCTAGTTCTATTTATGTAAAGTTCTAGACTCTCGCATATAAAAAAAAAAACGTGTCAACTACAAAAATAAATTTTCATAAAAAGATAAATACTGTTATTATAAAATCAAGAATTCATGGAATAGTACGGGAAGTATATTCCATATATTCTTTTTGCTTTGGTCAAAACTAGAGAAATACAGGAAAATTTGGAACCTGACACCATTATTATATCGGCACCAATTCCCAAATTTCCTTGAAATTTCCGACCAGTTTTCTTGGCAACCAAACAGAGGAGTGGTTATCACCTTGGTTAGTGACGATGACCCGAACAGAGTATCCACGGAGTAAGAGTTTGCTCACGATAGCAAGGCCCAGGAAGGATACGCCACTGGTGACGCACACGACCTTCTCTTCTACAACGTCGTCGTTTCCATCTTTGTTCGTCCCAATTCGGCCTCTGAATTGCTCCTCCTCGTCCTTCCTCCTGTGCACCCAGGCGCAAGATAGCAACGCCTGACGCAATTCTTCAATCTCCGCCCTGTGGCTCTCCTCTCTCTGTAAAACCCTCATTTCTTGAAACCCAACTTTCTCAGACTAACATGTGCCGCCGCCTGTTCTGATAATTCAAAGTGCACATACACACAGAGATCTATCTATATGTGTGTGTGTATATATATATACACACACATATATATATACACTATTACTTATCCACGTATTGTATGAGAATGAAAGGAGGGAATTTATCTAGAAGTTTTTAGTCTTTGGTTATGCAAAAAGAACCTTTTCCTTTAGCCATAAAAGAGTCAAAACGGCTCGGCTAATTTTAGCAGCTCCACACCACTTGAGCCAAATATGTAGAATAAATTACACTAACCTACATTTGAGTTTGAGCAAATTACATACCGATGGGTAGACTTTAATATTTTGATATTAATTATATTTGGCTAAAATATTCAAACACCCATAAAATTTTCTTTTTAACAAATTTATTAATCAAATTTTATAAAACTATAATTTTATTCTTTCCTTATATTATTGTAACCTAAAGTCAATATTGACTTTTTACACTCAGAATCACTTTTCAATAGTTGAATTTTGGAAAAATCAAAGTAATAGTAAAAAATTGAACGTTTTATATGTACGTAATTTATGTAAATTTCATGAAAAATTAGTATAATTTACTCAAAGATATATATATATATATATATATATATGAAAAATGATGTGTTATTTGATGTGCTTGAGATGCGTAAACATATTTCTTTCTTCTGGACAAGTGCTTGATTATGACTAGAGTCTAGATATCATCAACTCTAGTCATCAAAATTTATACTTTAATATTGAAAAATATTTGTTTCTTCGTGAAAGTTGAGTTTTAAGATGAGAACCATTTTTTTCAATGCATGCCATGGTAGGTGCAATACGAAAAATAGAAGTGGATGAGATATTTCAGCTCTCATTTGATCAATTAATCACTTTATGGTGTATATTTAGTTGATATATACTGATTAGTTACGTTGTTAATAACGGAGAGAATTGACTGATTAATTACGTAAGTTGTTAGTAATTGAAAGAATCCACATGCGACGACTTTGGTCCAAATATTATTACTCATAAAAACTAGAAAGAGACACTGTGAAAATGAAAGCCAATAAAGCTAGACAACAACTAGCAACAAATATAAATTAAATTTGAAAAAATGCCCTCTTGCTAGGTTAAAAAATAAAATAAAAATTTGAAAAAAATGGAACAAACTTGGTATAACACTCTTAATTACAAAAAAGTACAGAGTCCACTGGACTTGGTTGGGTAAGTGAATTAATGTAAGCATGTCAGTTGCCTTTACGATCCTGCACATGATTTGCAATTTGGAAGCGGTGGACTGGTGAGATTGTCAGTAAATTAAAAATGGGTTTAGTTGGCTTTTGAGAGCATTGAAACTAAGTTGAGGACACACCAAAAGTGTTACAGTGACAACACATGCCAAAAATGTGATTTTTTATTGAGTAAAAATTTGCTCACCTTTTCAATTATAAAGAACAAAAGTTGCCAAGTCCAGTTACAATTTGGAGAGAAGATGACATATTGTCGAAACTATATAGAATTACGGTTCTCAACCCATATATATACTGTCTTGATATTGACTGTAATAATGGTCGCGATCTTGATGTAACATATTCGAATGAATATTCATGTAAATTGATTGATTTATAAGAATGTATAATAGAATTGAATTCTTAAAGAAAAATTATGATGATACATTGCGTATCGACAAATACAATAAATCATCATTTATATATATATATATATATATATATATATTATGATGAAGTAAGATGAGAGAAAATTCATGAGTGCTAGATGGTGGAAGTGAGATGTGATCCGTGATGAAAAGTACTGAGATTTTGGATAAGAAAAAATCTAGGTACTGTTTTTTATAGTACGTCTCCAATGATATTTATCTAAGTACGTACTGTTTTTTGTGGTCTCCAGTGTCCAGTGATATCCGTTTTCGTCATTGGAGGTCAATTAAAGTTGGGATGTTTTGATATCACTCAACAGTCTTTTATATTATCCTGAAAAACGGGGTTCCAGTAAAAACAAACTATTAATAGTAAAATCTAACAAAATTAACGTGAAATACAGTAGTAAAAAATAATTTTAAAAATTTAAATTAATAGATAGAGCAAGTGGTTCAAAATATTAGAGTCTTAAAAAATACTTTCACCATCTAATAAACAATATTGAACAATATTGCCCCAGTTGAATGTATAACTTTAGTCGATAATAAAAATCTAATTAGACTTATTTTGTATGGTTGAGGAATGCTATCAAAGAAGTTATTATCCTAGTTGATTTGAAAATTTGATTTAAGAATTATTTTATTTGAAATATTAATTTGTGATTCATTTGATCACACTTACCGGTAAAATAAATAGGCCTAAATAGATTTATTCACATGTCTAAATTAAATATATCATAAATGTTGTATTAATAAGATATAAGTGTAAGGTGCCAAAAAAGTCTTCACTAGTTAATGCAATGCAAGTAATTTTTTGTTGGAAGAAGAGGAGAAGTTCTAGCCACTCTAGGTGCGTATTGTTTTTTATTACGGTACAAATCTTCAATTTGTCACGTGGTGGATTTTGGATCATTTTTTATTTTTTATGTTCTTGGCGAAATGATTGTTCTTCAATTGGAGTTGGACCCTCCGTCTCCCTGATGGAATGAAAATGAAAAACATGTTCCAATTATAAGTATCTAATACTCTCGCTGTTCTAAAAAAATATATATATATTCTGTTTGAAAAATTGAGTGACGATTTTTCAAACAAAACTTTTTTTTGTGATAAGAGATAATATATAATTAGGTCTCTCATTTATTCATGCGCGTCAATTCACTCGCAATTTACAACATTGCAGTGAGGTAATTATTTGTGACCATCAAGTCAGTGGCCTAGCGATATCAAACTTTTACTTTTCAAAAAAAGAGGTCGAGCCATGTGTGTGTGCATACCGAAACAAAAAAAAAAAAAAGAAAAGGTAGTAGTTTGTGGGAATTAGAGGAGAGGGATTCCAACTTAGGATTATATGGTGAGCGTACTTAAGGGTTTGACTCTTTATTACGTCACAACTTATAACATTGTAAATTTAGTTAATATTACTTTGTAAGTAAATCGATTAAATTCAAAAAAATTAAGATTTTCAAATTGATTAAGTAAAAGAGTTAAATTTGAACGAACCCCTTAACTCAATTCGGCAAAAATATGAAATGTCACCTCAAGTTCTTAAACATGTTGCATTGTGACATAGTGTGTTGCTCCGTCAATTGATTCGACGCAATGCAAGACCAAAGCACACCTGAAGGATCCAGATTTTTTTGAAGAAATATGAGAAAATATTCCCAAAAAAGAAAAAGAAAATGGCCCATTAAAAAATAGAAAAAATAAATAGAATACGGTAGTAAATTACAGCACTAAAAAAGAAAAAAGAAAAAAAAAAAAAAAAAGAGTACTTGAATGACTAAATGGCTTCTAATCATCGGTCAAACGGCTTGGCTAAAATAACGGCTCAGCTGGAAAGTAATGAATATAATGGGCCCCTCACGTGTTGAATGACCAGTAAGCACGAGGAAGTCTACACGGTCTACGCAGAGTTAGATGAGAAAACCAGTTATTGTGACAGCCACTGGTACGACTGGCTGGTAATGCGTAATTATATTGTGGCACGTGGACACGCCGTCAATCACGGCCGTAGGATCGTTTTGTATTTTTGAGATGCAGTCATTTGAGCTTGACTGGGTTAGGTATAATTTATGCAGGTTAGGAAGCCACGTAGGTAAAAGAATGGTCAGGCAATTTTCACCCACAAATTGCATGCCGCTACTTTGTGTCATTTTTTTGGGCCGTGTTACAAGATTGTGAGAATGAAGATGATATTTAATAATATTTGCTTGAATTTTCGAAAAATAAAAAAATATTTCTTTAAAATTGGGTTGGTTTTTTTTTTTTTTTTATTGATCATACTTAAATATATTAAAGTAATCTATTTTAATTAAATTGTAGACAATTTATGTACAAAGACTTATAAATACATGGTAATTAAAGAAAGATAATTTTTATATGTTCGGTTTGTTTGAATGTAAAATATTTTTCACAAAATATTTTTATTTTTTGGTATTTGTTTATTGTAAAATATTTATAAAAAAATTATATTAAAACTAAATAAAAATAACATACCCACTAAATTTTGACGTGTTATTTCATGTATAGAAAATAAAAATGCATAAAAGTTGGCGTAGACAAAACCATTGATTTGAAATCTATCGATAACAAATTTTCATATAAAGTTGCAAACAACAAATAAGTGGGTTTATTCACTCTTTTTCTTTCCCCTTTTTTTTGTTTTTTTTTTTTTGAGTGCGGACTTGTCATTCACCAACTTTCACATACAGTTATAAACAAGTATGTGAGTTTATTTATTTATTTATTTTTCTCTGTGTGTGGACTGGTCATTTACCAAAATCATATATTTTGAAACAATGTAATAATTTCTAACGAAACAAGGGGTAGTGAGAATTCATATAAAATGGAGGCAATGATAATGACAAGGATCATAATATTTTAAGTCCACTAATATATCCTTACTCTCTTAACATAAGAATCATAATATTTTTATTTTTTGATATTTAGTTATTGTGAAATATTTATAAGAAAATTATATTAAAACTTAAAAAAAAAACAACTTACCCACCAAATTTTGACGTGTTATTTTATGTGTAGAAAATAAAAATACATAAAAGTCGGCGTAAGCAACACCATTGATTTGAAATCTATCAATAACAAACTTTCATGTAAAGTTGTAAACAAATAAGTGAGTTTACTCAATTTTTTTTTTTTTTTGTTTTTTTTTTCGAGTGCGGACTCGTCTTTAACCAGAATCACATATTTTCAAACAATGTAATAATAAAAGTTGACAGAGGCCGCACCACTTATTTGAGATCTATTAATAACAAATTTTTACGTAAAGTCGTAAACAGGTATGTGAGTTTATTTATGGAGTATTTTTTTTTTTTTATGTAATAATTTCTAATGAAACAAGGGGCAGTGAGAATTCATATAAAATGGAGGCAATGATAACGACAAGGATGGCAATAAAGAAAAAACTCATTTAGGTAGTCCACTAATATATATCCTTACTCTGATAAGATAAGAATCATAGACAAGTCACAAACTTAAGTTGTGGAATGAAGCAATAACACAAGCCATCTCGAAGATTCATCATTCACATGTGGAATTCTGTTGGTGTCAATGTCTTATAATCATGTCTTTTTCTTGTAGAATTGTCAAAAATGGTGGTCGTTATTGGGGAGGTCAGAGGTCTTAAGTGGCTTTTAGTTCTGATTGTCTTATAGATATATATCCTTTCACATACGTGTTACAAAATATATATGTATATGTATATTTGTACAAGTACAAATCCAAAGAAATACGAAGTTGGACTAATTTGGAAATTCAACCAGAACTTAAAAAACAGCTATTGCTATTAATATCAAATTTATAAATAAATACATAAATAAGTCATATTGAAGGTTTTATTTTTATTAGAGAAAAGAGATAATACCATTTAGACTAATTCCGCTTATATATATTAAAAATTTAAGCAAACACATACTCTTTGGCTCCGTTTGTTTTGATGTAAAATATTTTTGTTTTTCGTGTAAAATATTCTTTTATTTTTACTTTGTCGGTATTTGGCAAAGGTCTACGTCAAGATTGAGGTCGAATTCATTGGGCAAGACATGTAAAATAACTTGTCGAAAATTGATAAATAAGTTATTTTTGTTAAATTTTAATATTTTTTTTCTTAAATATTTTACGACAACCAAACACCAAAAATAAAAAATAAAAAATTTGAAAATTTTTTTATGGAACTAATTTTTGTCCCTTGCATAGTAAGGTAACTCAATTTCACTTTAAAAAAGAGAGATTATACCATGTAAAGTAATATATCTTTAAAAAAAAAAAAAAAAAAAAAATTGATAATGAGTTATAATTGTAACTTCAACTCAGTGAATGAAGCAAGGACAGCACTCATGTCACTCAAACAATGATCCTTCACATTTGCAATGGTTAAAAACATAATTTAGAAGTAATATTGGAAATAAATAAATCAGAAGTATTAAATTTATTTTTATTGAAACCAATATCTTTACTGCTAAAGGGTTTTCTTTTCTCTTTAACTTAAAAATAAAAACATCATTCTTCACTTAAATTATTTACTTATAGACATTATTGATGATAAATGATTAAATGGTACATTTCATATATTATTTTTTTATTTTTTCTTTCTTTTGATTACAATAAACTTTGCATGTGTGGATTTTATGGAAGTCTTATATACAGGATTAACTCAATTCAAACTATTCTTTACACAATTCGTAAATTAATTTCGAATTTAGAGATTTTATCCATTCATCTCAGTGTGAAATTTCAAGGAATATTAAATTAATTAATTATAAAAGTGAAAATTGATCATACAAGGCAGAAAAGATTAGTACTAATGACCTCAAAGATTAGGAGATTTTTCCACATGGCTAGCTTTAGAAATTTATAAAGAGAAAAAAGACAATATTTTCAGAGAAGGTGTTTGGCCCTTTGAAAGTGTGGAAGTTCCAGTTGAAAGTGTAATCTATATTTCAGTGAAAGATAAGAGTGGATAAGGCGAGAACTGAAAGAAGGTTTGAAAATGACTGACTTCATAAAATATATATATATATATATATATATATATATACCTTTAATAACAAAGGATTTCGAAATTTTATTATGACCGGAAATTAAGGAAAGTAATTGAAGTGTTGAATTGAAAGCAAGGAATTGAAAAGCAAGTACTGAAGGAAAGTAATGGAAGTGTAGTACTTGAAAAGTGAAGTGCTCAAACATAAATTGCATTAAGAAATATAATTGAAGTACATTGCTAAAGTGTAAAGATAATTAAAAGACAATTGCAATAATTGAAAGATAATTGAAGTGGTATTGCTGTGTTTGTTGATCAAAGTTTTAGAGTTACAAAGAGTTGCCCTATGTTTTAGATTATTCTGATGGCAGTTCCCGCCGACGGTTCCAACAGAAGTTGAAACCTTCCATGGGCCAAAATTAGATTTTTTAAGTGTCTCGTGTTCTCGTTAGCATTCTCATAGCGCTTACATGTGTGAAACCTTGTTCTTTCATGATTTGCTACTTTTTTCTGCAATCACCTTCCCACCTGCCAGGAATAACTTATATTCTGTTGGAAATCTACCCGTGTCCCATATTTGCCGTCGTGACCTTCTAATTACAGGTAACCTATTTGTCTACCACGTGTCCCATATTTTCTGTTGTGACCTTCCAACTACAGGTAACCTGTTTTTCTACTATGTGTCCCACGACTTTCGATTTGCACGCAAGTGTTTCTTCCTTTCATGTCACATGTCTTATAATTTTCTACTTACAAGTTACTGTTTCCTTCTTTGACTGCCAACTGTGCCAAGGCAGTTATTTTAACAAATGAGTTTTTCATTAAACCCAAGTGCTGCTTCGTGATTACATCCTTGTTTGCATTCTCATTAGAATCAGTCACAACAACCTTACATCAAAAATTAATAAATAATTATTGTACAAATAACTACTTGCCTTTTTATTAAGTCACGTGCCCCAACTCTGATAGGTGCATTACAAAATCTCGGAAAGACAGCCAATTTTCACCGAAGAGCTGTAAACGGACACTTATTAACCTTCAATCGGAAAGTCGATCCATAATTTTTAGTGTAAACAAGAACTTAGCAGCAAGTGAGTCATTGACCTTTATATGGCCACGTGCCTATCACTTATTGGCCATTGCCCCATTAGCTTTTATTGGAACGTGCCACTTTCTGATTGGTCCCTCGCAGCTGGAAATTAGGGTGTAGTGTTTTCTTTACTTCCAAGAAAAAAACTTTTGCAGGCAAGGCCGAGGTCGCGCGGTGCCAATCTGCAAATTCCAAACGAAAACTCAGTACCACTCTCTCTCTCTCTCTCTCTCTCTCTCACACACACACACACACACACTCTCTCTCTCTCTCTAGATAGTTATGGCTACTTCTGCACCGCCCTTTCCTGTGCCTCACAACAAGCTCTCACTCGATATTAAGGCAAGTACACGTCATCTTACTTCTTCTTCTTCCTCCTCTTCCTTATTGATTATACAGTCTTGAGATGAATTCTTTGTTTCTGTTTATTCGTTTTCATGAGTTTGATAGACGAAGTGGTCCATGAGCTTATAAACTTGTTCGTGATTCTTCAATTTTCTCTTTATTATTAATTTCCATTTCACGTGTTTTCATAAAATTTCATAATTCATTGTGCTTATCTGAAAGTACGGACAAAATGGATCTTTAAACGAAGTGTGAATACCTACAAATTTGACGATTATTGATAAAGGACTGCCTATGTGCTTCTCATCAAATGCAATTGAAACCTTAACAATGGTATATCCTTTCGCCCACAACCTGTTTGCTTTAATGTCCAGTCCACTCAGATTTCTCTATGTTATGTAGGAAAATCATTTTTAATAATTGAATGAGTACTTTACGAACCACGTTACATAAACATCAATTGATAATTCTTTTACTTTTTGTGTGTCAGTGATGATTAATGACTGAGGGTGGGTGGGCCTTGGCACATTTGTGACCTTCAGGTCACAGCTTTGAATCACGGAAATAGCCTCTTTGCCTGTGGGGGTAAGACTGTGTCTGATCCTGGGATAGGTCTTGTCTGAATATTTGTTACTAAATTGGATAAAAACTGGGCTTTGTCAGTTTTTATTTTTATTTTTATTTAAGGTGTCTTACTAGGGAATTTGACGATGAGCTTGGGTATATAAAAGAGGCTTGTTGGGATAGTCTAGGTTGTTTGATCTTGGGTTGTGTCAAAGGCTTGGTCTTGAAGACTAGAAACTGGAATTGTGTTCATTTGATCTATGATGATTTATGTTTTCGTGTTACTCGGGTGTGTATACCCTTTATGACGACTTGTTGCATCAATATGCAAACTGTAGGCTAAAAGTAAAGTGTATTGGTTGATAGAGGGGTATTAATTGTGGCTCCTACTGTATTGGCAAATGCCCATTTGCATTGCTGTTTTAATTAGTATAGAGGTTGTTGCAAACTTTTCAAGTTGGCGTATTCTTTACTTCTCTTCAATTGTGCAGCTATACAAAGTTCATCGAGTGTCTTTGATTTCACTGTTAATATGCTTTTATCATTAAATTTTAACTCAATTGCTTGCTCACTGTTTGGCAGGGGAACAAAACAGATATAATCATTAGTAGCTATGATGATCATTTTCTTGTGAGTTACAGCCTCTAATTTTTTTCAGAGTGGATGCGTGTTATACTATGTTTTTTTGTTCGAGGTAATTTAATATTTGCAAGTCCTTTCAGGTCATTGCAACTCAAATAGGAAGCATGGGGACAATACTGCATGCCAGGTTTGTATTATTATTATTATTTATTTATTTATTTATTTTTCTCCTTGTTGAAACTACCTTTGTGTTTTTATTTCTGATTGCATATTATTTTTTCAGTTAGAAAGTTTCAAATCAGCTGCAAGGACAGACTTGAGTATTGATATTGGACTTGGGATATGTGGTGGCTCAGTTGAGTCTTTGTTTTGTAGTTCAAACTTCCAAGGGTCAGTTTCTATTGTAGGATGTAGTGATGTACTATCGCGTGCATGATATAATTTAGCTCAGCAGAAAACAGATGGAATTGCTATTGCTGCCATATGTAGGTTTTAGTGTTCTTCAACCTGTCTCCCAAGTGTACAATGGACTTCAAGGTCATATTCTCGATCAAGAATATAGATATCCCTATTTTTGGATTGTCTAATAGAGGCTAACAAATTATGAATATTCATGCATACAGTGAAATCAATTGCTAGATGTGTTGGTTATTATCAATACGTGTGTGCATTGTATATATCATCAACACCTTTAAGTGATCCACTTCTAAGAAGATTACAGTTGATCTAATTTTGTAGATAGCGTTGCTAATGAATATATGCATACAGTGAAAATCAATTGCAGTGAACACATAATATGTTACTTATTATCAATATGTGCCTGTGTGTGTATATATATCATCGCCACCTTTTACTGCAAGTAACCTCTTCTGGACACCCACGATTATCAACAAAAAAAAAAAAATAGTAATCCTCTTCTAAGAAGATTACACTCGCATACATGTAATCTGTGAAATAGAATATTGTTGTGAATTATATTTATTACTCAAACACAACTCTTCAAAATGCTCATTTTAACTTTTGCTTGATATACACTACAGGAGACTTTAGTGAAGGTAGCAATTTCCAATGCTATTGATTTTATAGTCTGCTTTCTCTTGAATCCAATTTTGTTTTGCCCTCCAAGATTGTAGGAAATTATGATAGTCATTTTGATCACACTTCTACCTGGTATCACTTCTAAGGTACATCATTTTATTTGATTGGCAGAAAGGAGGAAGGATTATTATCAATTCATCCAACCTTCCATGTGTCCGTGATATTTGGTAAACGAGATGAGGTAATCTAGTCTCTGCAGTAGTCTGTTTATGTAGCTTTTGTTAGATCATGATTGTTGATCAACTAGATACAAATTACAATACTTGCAGCCAATGCTAGTGACGTGTGCTCGGCAGCTGATTGAACACATTAGGTATATTTCCTTGTCAATTTAATAATTACATTTTCACATTTTTGTCTCTATCAAAGATTAGTTTGTTGAACACAAGTATATGCAAATATCTGCAAATTTATGCTGATTAATATTCATGATAGACATGACGATCCATCAGCAATCAATGTCTTCTGCCTTTTATTGAATTGATGCTTTAAGAAGACTTTTATTATTTTGATTAGAAATTTGGCACGGACCTTTAATTCGTTACCTGTCCTGATGTGTTTGCAGTAGCTCTGGCTCTTCAAGACCATTGGTGCTCTCTCTTGGCCTGAAAGACCACTCTGTGGTACTATTCAAAACATGATTTTACTATTTTTTGTTTCTTTCTTTCAATATACTATAGTAGCATTCATGAATATGGTTATCGTTTCATACAGGCAACGCTGAAAGGCATAGTTTCTGCTGTGATCGAGAACCGGCTTTGGTAACTGGTGGTGCCAAGTTCTTAGGGTTTGCTGATTGATCTTGTATGCAATCTGGACTCAACATTCTCTATCATTGCAATTTGATACTTGAAAGCTGTGTGCAATTTGATAAAGTTAAAGCTTGTACGATGTTGTCATGTCAAGCTGGTACTTGCACAAAATCTTCCTCTATATTTTATGATTTTAATTTTCAAGTTTGGAGTAAATATGAATATTTTCTGCAATGCAATCATTTAACTCAACAGACTCAATGAAACCTCTTTTCTCCACTTTCTTCGATCACATTCACTCAAACAAAAATTGATAAATAAGTTTCCATTTAGGTTTGTTTGTTTGGATGTAAAAATTTTTTTAGAAAATATATATTTTTTAATTTTTTAGTGTTTGATTGTCGTAAAATATTTATGAAAAAAATATATTAATAATAACAAAAAAAAAAAAATTACTCATCAATTTTCAACAAATTATTTTACACGCTCTACCCGATAGTCTCGACCTCAACATCATTTGTCTAAATATATATATATTTTACCTAAAAAAGGAAAAAAATATTTTCTGTTGAACAAAAAGAGAGAATAATATAAACTCTTATATAGGGATGTCTCATTCATCCGCATCTTTTCTCCTTCATTTAATTTTCTTCTTTTCTATCGGAAGAAACATTAATGTTGATTCTATTGTGAACTTGTTATATTTTTCTTCATATTTTTAGGAATAGGATAGAGATTGCCATCATATCTGAAAAAAAAAAAAAAAAAAAAAAAAAAACCCTTAGAATCCACTAATTTGATTATTGCAGATTAGCAATCAAATGTTACCGCAAAATTTCTAGAAAAAAATGAGAAAAACAATAGTGTCACAATTACAAAGTTGGACTACAACTTGGTAGAGAAGTGAATTCGAATTTCGGAAGGGAAAAAAACAGGAATGGAAATAATTTAGTGCAAGGGAAATGGAACGCTAAAATTCATTAAATTAGATTAAATTGCTGAATTTTAAGGATGTGAAAGCGCAAATTACAATGGTGAAATTTTTTTTTAAAAAAAGGGCAAAAAAAAAAAAAAAAGAAGCGCAAATTACAATAAGAGAATGTAACTGCTACAATGTTTAAAAAATCTTCCACGTGTCAGACATTCCCAGAGTTTTTACTCAGCTCATAAAGTCATGTTCTTCGTGAGCGGGCTTATTGCATGATGAATTAATTAGTTACAGCGAACTTGGCTTATTTCCAGGATTGAGACAAGTGACAACCATTAAAGTCTCTTTCTAAATCAACAACGCTCCCACTTCATTATAGATGGTGACATTTTTAATAACCCCATGTTCACTTCGAATTACGTTCTTATTAAATTTTTATAAAATATTCAATTGGTTTACCGGATGAGAATTCACTTCGGATATCTCAGTAAACAAATAATTTTTGTGAAGGTAACCACACGTTATAGTTAAGCTAAGTTTAAGATTTGCATGGTCTTTTTTTATATACGTTACTTATGAAGTGTTGTGTATACCTAAAGTGAATTAATTTCACCCGAAATTATCATTTTTAATAACTCTATGTTCACTTTAGATTACGTTCTTATTAATTTTTTTGAAATATTCGAACTTGGCTTAATTAATGAGAACTCATCTATGATGTCTTATGAAGTAAATAATTTTCTTGAACGTACACACGTTATAATTAAGTCCAGTCCTAAATTTGCAAAATCTTTTTTGATACATGGTACTTGTGAAGTGCTGCGTATCCGAAATTATGGTTTCAGTATATACATACTTAATAATGTTCATAGAAATAGTTGAGGAGGCCCCGGATGACATGGGCCAGGTCCGACTCGCAAAACACAACCTTCAGTCCGAACAGCTGGGTCAGCCCATAGAAAGACACTGCCATATGGGCCGAGCGGGAGTAAGCCCATCAAGGGTGACCAGGGCTTACAGAGGAATAGGCCCAGGTCCAGCAATTAGTAAATATCTTGTAAATATCTTGTAAATATCTTGTAAGTGTCTATAAATAGGAGTTGGAATGAAGAGGAGAGGGATCTTTCCGGGTGGAGGTGTAAGAATTCTAGAGAGAGAAAGAATAGAAGGAGTTTCTTGCATCTTCAATTGGCGCCGTCTGTGGGAAACGCATGAAAGTTTGGTTGATCAATGAGGAGTATCGAATGGATTCAAACCAATTCGGTTGATCGAGACTCGATCTTGCGGATTTGAATCCAGATCTGAGCGATTGTGACCTACTCTGGAGGAATTACGATTCTTGAAGCTTTGGCAGGAGTGACTTCAGATCTACGCAACCACGAGTTGCTCGATTGTGGCAGGATCTGACGGATTTAGAGTTTAGACAATTCAGATCTTGTAAACAGTGAGCATAATTCGGAGAATTAGAAGCCAGATCTAAAAATTCCTACTCACGAAGCTCAGATCTACTCGCGAACTTGAGATTAATGCCTTTACTCCGTTCGGGAATAATGATAGGTGAAAGCTCCAATCCGATGGAGGCTGTCCAGCAAACAAAGCTTGAAGAGTTGATGAACTTGATTGAAGCTCTCAGAAAAGAAAATGCAGAATTGAAAGCTGGACTGCAGCATCGGCAAATACCTGCGGTTTCGCATCCACTTCCGGTCGGAGAAGGAGGTGTTCCATCTAATATCGCGCATCAAGGCGATCAGGACGAGAACAATCAGTCAGCTCACCACCGTGACGAAAGGATGATGGACAATTTGCCGCCAAATGTTCGTCGAGTTGAAGATCACGAAGGATCGACTCACGTTGATCCGCAGCGGGAAAGGTTTGACCGAGAGGAAGTGATGGAGGTTGATCGCCGTCGAGTAGCGTCGCCTTGGCAAAGAGAGTTCATAGAGGAACGGTCGTTCGATCCGTCTTACCGGCCCTCCATGGTTACTGTCACTCATCACGGTTCGGAGGGCAGAACCGTAACTCACAGAGCTACCGCTGGACTCCAGAGAGAGAATGAAGCTCTCCGATCCGCGGCTCGGACGGTGGATTCACCATTCACCGACGAGATCTTGAATGCGCCGCATCCAAGGAAGTTTGCTATGCCAGTCTTTATTCTGTTTGACGGAACGACCGATCCGATCGATCATGTGTATCATATCCAGTTGAAAATGGCCCTGAATACGGAAAACGACTCTTTAATGTGCAAATGTTTCCCTACAAGCCTGGCCGGACCGGCGCTCAGCTGGTTCAAAAACTTGCCTAGGAGCTCCATTGGCAGTTTCAGAGACCTGTGCGATCGGTTCATAAGTCAGTACTATGGGAACAAACGCCCGCCGAAGGACATCTCGAGCCTCTTCACGATGCGGCAGCACAAGGATGAACGTCTCCAGGCCTTTCTTACCAGGTTTAATCTCACTAAGAGTATGGTGATCGAATGCCACCCTTCTACGGCAGTTCAAGCCTTCAAGTTATCCATGACACGCGGAACTCCCTTTCACACCAGTCTGGTAGTGAACACGCCGGCTACCATGGATGAACTCAATGAGAGAGCCGATGGCTTTGTGCGCCTCGAAGAAGAGGAGGCAGCTAATGCTCGGACAACGTCGCTTGTGTCGACCGAGGAGAAGTCCAAGGCAAAGATCAGGCAGAAGCAGGCTCAGCCACAACGTCAGACCACTTGGAAGGCCGAAAAAAGGTCCAGGGAGGAAGAGTTGATTACTCCGCTGAAGGTCACTCTGGCAAGGCTGTATCAGGAGAACAAGGACAAGTTTCATCCACCACTGCCAATTAGACAACCCCTCGAGCAGAGGGATCAAACTAAACATTGTGCTTTTCATTCTGATTTCGGACATCAGACTAACGAATGCAGGAACTTGAGGAGGCAAGTGGAGATGTTGATAGCTAAAGGGGAGTTTGCGAGTTATGTTCAAGGCTCGGCGATGGAGCAGAATCGACCAGTAGAACAAATAAAAAGGAGTCATAAACAAAGCTCCCACAATTCGCAACCAGTTCGTATAATCAATGTTATCCATGGTCGACCCGAGCCTAGTGAAGAGTCAGATGAGCTGCTACGGGTGCGCCTGCGGCAGGCACAGATGAAGAAAAGGGTCGGCAATGTGTCCACTCTACACCAGCAGAGCCCGTCAATGCAGATAAAGTTCGACTGGACAGACCTGCAGCGTGTTCAACTGCCTCATGACGACCCGTTGGTAGTCAGTTTGACAGTGGCGGATTGCTTGGTGCGCAGAGTTCTGATCGATCCTGGGAGCAGTGCGAATGTTATGCCGAGGGACACATTTGACAGGCTCGACATTAAACCAGAGAGGCTCAAGCCCACCGGAAATCCCTTATTAGGGTTCGATGGGAAGAGGGTGGAACCCGTCGGGATGGTGGAAGTAGAAGTTCAAGCTGCAGAACGAGCTCTTATGGAAACTTTTGTGGTTGTGGAAATTCACCCCTCGTATAATCTCCTGATGGGAAGAGGATGGATTCACAGAGTCCGGGGTGTACCCTCAACTCTGCATCAGGTCATGAGGTGCCTCGGGCCCGATGGGGATAGAGTAATAGACATTCGGGGGGATCAGGTCGCAGCCAAAGAGTGTTATTCCGTCACACTAAAGCATGCTGGGAAAGGAAAGGCGCCCGTCCGTTCGACAAGCCCCAGATAGCAATTACAGAAACCTCCGCCCGAGCAGAATAGGGTGGAGGAGTCAGTCGACTTGACCGAGGAGCCCCTTCTGGATGTGCAGATCGATCAGTCCAGGCCAGAACGAACTGCCAGAGTAGGTATAAGACTGACCAGAGAAGAGCGGCAAGAGCTAGTGGATTTTTTGTCCCACAATGTCGACGTATTCGCATGGAGTCACCTAGACATGCCTGGAATTAGTCCTTCCGTATCCTGTCATTCCCTGAATGTAAATCCCAGTTTCAAACCAGTGAAACAGAAGCAGCGAAGATTTGCTCCAGAACGTAATCAGATCATAGCGGAAGAAGTCGATAGGCTGCTTGATGCGGGATTTATCAGAGAGGTGCACTACCCTGAGTGGTTGTCCAACGTCGTTGTAGTGCAGAAGAAAAATGGGAAATGGCGAGTATGCATTGATTTCACCAATTTGAACAAAGCCTGCCCGAAGGACAGCTTCCCGCTGCCTAAGATTGATCAAATGGTGGATGCCACCACTGGGTATGAGCGTTTGACCTTTCTGGACGCATATTCAGGTTATAATCAGATTCCTAT